AAATAACTGCAAGGTGAAAAAAACTGAAACTTGCAATGCAAATCAATTTTTGCATGACTTCTAACCTTTGACCCTTCTCACAAATACTATGTTTAATAAATATAATATACATGTAGTTTATATCATACCTGATAGTGCTGTTGTAAATATCATTGCTAACGCAAAGTGAGCTGATTTTCTCAGTAAAGGGAGGGATTTGCTAGCTATAGCCTAAAAACATATAATAGAGATAATTTTGATATACAACAATGAATATTTATAATTTATGTACACAAAAACATGTTTTTTATTTCATTTGTAATTTTTCTAATTCAAGATGTCGCTAATTTTAAGTATATTCTCACAATGAGATTGTTTGCACTTTAGCTAAAGTTCTATAAATAGTCAAATTCGATAAAAGTAAATGCAGCAATTTCATCATGCTTTTCAGTATTTCTTCTGAAATTTAAGATGTATTACTTAAATAAATATTACTTCTACTGTATTTATTCTATTACAAGCACATTAATGTTTTATACAGGAACATTAAAATATTGGGCATTTTAACCATAGAAGCGGTAATTTATGCAAATGCATGCGCTGCTGATAGAGAAAATATGGTACTACGATAAATGTAGTTTTAAATAGTGTTGAGAATTAAACCGTAATTGTTGTTACTATGTGGGAGGGGGGGGGGGGATATATTATTTCCAGTACAATTCATGTTACTATAATCAGTTTCTACAACCATGTACATAATTACATTTCCAAAAACTACTGTTGCCAGTCATCTTTATCACTTGATTTGAAAAATACAATTTTACAGCATACTACATACAATAATTAAGATTTAGTTGGCCAATTCATCATTAAAATAATGGATTAGGTACGTGCTTTATTTCATTGATCATGAGGAAAGTAGGTCAACATTACACAGTGTTATTGTTATGTAAATTCCATATGAGATAATGTATCAAAAGTTCTAGTTGTTGTTTAGGGGATAAAATTTACCCTTTGTAATAAAAAATTGTATATTCCTGATTGACTACTGTTCTCTACTGTTCCTTTTGCAAACCTACAAAGGTAGACTACTGTAGAATACTTTATTTCCGGTTGGAATTTATTTTCGCTATTTTCGCTGAAGTGATACTTCAGTTAAAATAAACTCCAGCAAAATACACTTTTTTTTCCCCCCATGTCTCACATTCAACTCATCAATTATCAATAAAAATAAATTCCATTCAAAACACCCAAAAAATCTTTTTTGGCGAAAATTAATTCCAGCTAAAATAAAATATTTCACAGTATGTCTTGGCTACAGTTTGGTGAAGACATGGTTTCCCATTTCTATTCAAAGAAACGGCAGACATTCTGTGCTATGACATCAGTCTCATAAAATGGGACTTGATTAATGATCATTGGCACGGCAGAGGCTATTAAGCGAATCACTCGTTGAGCCTTACTATATGAACTAAATATTACTTTCCACCTCCACTGTTCTGCAAATTTGAAAAATTTACAATTTTTAATGTCACATTATATCACAGAAAATGTGAAAACAAATGTTAGCAGGTAAATGCCTAGCCTGACGTAGTTGTTGGCGTAGGTGGCCCCAGGGTGATCGCAGCAGTCTAGGGCGCCACCTACATCAACTTGTCAGGCTAGTAAATGCCATATGTTGACAGAGACAGAGACAAATACTGTAAAACCCCTTGAAATACAAGGCATTTTAGCAAATTTGACTCTATGCAATAAATAACCGAAATGTGCCTCATAAAGTTTTTAACGCTTTATTTAATTTTGAACGAAATAGACATACTTTTCTATTGGCTACAAGTCTTAATCGAAATTTTGGAAAAATGACAAAAAAATTATGTCAGTTAAAAACGTGTGAAGGATTTGTTACAATTACAATAGGTTTAATTTAGCTTGAAGCGTGTCAGCCGTTGTCGTGTGTTCGAATTTCATGTAAATAAACAATGTATTTTACACACGTTGTATACATCGATATGAGTCCCATATCGAAAAGGACGCGACACGACACGACGACTACCTCCCTTTAAGTGCCAGCAATCACATTGTGAGAATATACTTTCTTTTTAAATTTGCGACATATTGAATTTAAGAGCGAAATTACTGATTAGCTAAAATAACTTAAGAATATGTTTTACAAGTATCCTTAGTACTTACTGGCACATTTTGTGTTGGCATAAGATGCGTCAATCCCGACCATAACATCAATGTGTATAATAATAATGCTGATCCTAAATGCGATGCCAGGCGATACTGACTGACACGTGGAACGTCTTCAGTCTTTGGTTCTTCCAACCCACTCTTGACCATATACCAACCAAGAAGCCCCTAGCAACATCAAGATCAGGTTTAAACAATATATACTGGGGTATATATCTTTATAACACAATTGCATTAAGTCAGTCAAGGCAAATTCAAATTTTGTTATACTGTGCATCATACTGCACATATATGCAATGCATTATGGGAGCAAACTTCCCATTGTATCCAATCACAAAATCCCTAACTTCCCATTGTATCCAATCACAAAATCCCTAACTTCTTATTGTATCCAATCACAAAATCCCTAACTTCCCATTGTATCCAATCACAAAATCCCTAACTTCCCAATGTATCCAATCACAAAACTCCTAATAAAGTATGAAAAACATGACATATAATATCTAATTGAGCTTGAAGATCTTTAAGGATAAGAACTCGTGTTTATAGGCCTTAATTTTTTTTTCAAACTTTTAGCTAAATGCAACTTGGTCACAGCAATTTGAAAGTGCAAAAAAAAAAAATTCAGAACCTCAGCTGAATGTATTCAAATTTCAATTAAAAACGGACTTAATGATATGGAGAAATAATATGGTGTTTCCGAGAAAACAGTCTAGTAACCCACACCCCTTATCCCGCTGTTTTTTGTCTCGAAACTAACACCTTTTGATTTTTGTTCAGAAATTGTCAATAAATTTATGATTTTTTTTATTTTAAATTCTGACCTGCTCAGTTCCCCACATAAATTTGTTTAACGCATTTTCACTACAGTTAGCTGTGTCCGTCCTTGAATCGCTTTAAAGCAATATGTATTTACCTGGAAAAGTATTAGAGATCCATATATTATAACTCTAGGCTTCATTGCTTTGCTGAGCCAACCTCTATTCCAAAACACCATGGCTGGTAGAGCAAAAACCAATCCTATAGCTCTTCCCCACATTCTATGGGAATATTCCATATAAAATATCCACTTGAATTCTTCCAATGTCATTTCATGATGTAAACTGTTTGACAAAAATAAAGTTATTCAGGATAAACTTGAAAACTCTTCAGTAATGAACCATAAAGTTGAATTCTCAAATCATAGCTTAACCTTTTCAACAGGAGACTTTCTTGCCATAATTTTTTTGCACTTTTTTCTTATATTCTTCAATATTTCTGGAAATGAACCCTAATCTCGGAGCCAGCAGATAAAATTTGAGTAATTTGCAGTTTTTTCTCAAAAAATTTGGCTATTTTTGTCCCAATTTCTGAAGGAAAGTGCAGACAAAAAACAGGACTATAATTTGTGAGTTTGTGATGAAAAGAAGGAACTGGTGGTGAAACGGTTAATAAGTTTGGGAAATGGGAATATTATGGAAAATATTTAACAGTCTGTATATATGCATAGGATTGTTGGAAATATTTGATTTCAACAGGCTGCAATGATTCAGAATAGGTAATCTTCATGATTCTGGAAAATCATTAAACTTTAGCTTCCAGCACATAATTCACATCAATTCAAATATTTCACATAGTCCCAACATCATAACAAAGTTTTAGGAAAGATCTCAGAGTTTAAATTTAAAAAATACTCAAGGTGAAACAGTTGAATTTAATATGAAGAAATAATTTATTTTTCACATGATATTGTACATAAAATTTCAGACCCATATCTATCAAAACATGGCACGAAGACAATGAAATATATTTTTGTAGAAATAACTTTTTTGTATCTTGTATGTCATTATTTTAAACGAGAGGGTCGTCACCTGCGCACACGCGGGAATTTGAGTCCCAAGCTACGATAACAACACACGCTAAAACGCAAAGGTTCATGGGTAGAAGCTTGTTTTGTAAACAATGACACGCTATGGCCATCTGACGCATGCGCAGGTGACGACTCCCCCGCTTTAATTGATTGCACTATTGAAACAACAAACCCATTTTCTTCATTTTTGCAGACACCTGTATTCTATAACATCAATTTCTCTCCCTGTGTACTAATAAGTTATCATAGCAAAGTCCCCTCCCCCCTCTCACATCAAATTACAAAAATCATCCACTTACTATTTGAATTCTGGGTATTCTTGATATTTTTTAAATTCTGCTTCCCATTCTTCATTTGATCTTGGTGGTTTCATTCCTTTTATCAGATTCCAGTCGGTCATTGATAAGCCTGACTCTGTTAATCTAAAAACAAAATACTAACATTTTACATCAAACACATTGTACAAGTTATCAGTAACCAGAGTAAAACTAATATCCATGCAATAGAACAGTTTGTTTCAGGACTAGACTCTCTCTGGATATTTTAATATCCAGCCAGATATACAGTAAAATATAGTTAAATACATGTAGTGTATGAAAAAATATATTCCTGTTCCCTCATAGACTGCTGATTGATGTCATGTATCACAAATGACTAAGCCCTGAATGCTGTGTCCACACTTGCCTACCTATTTGTATCCACCCTTGGTAGACATTACCTTGTGACTCCACCAAGTACCACAGCACCAACAACCATTCCTGAACAGATTATCAGCCATCCTCCAACAATCTTTCTAGCATACGACGGAATGTCACCAACAAGTGACTTGGCAACATTGCTACTCGCTTTGGTTGTTGTTGAACGGACTGTCATCAAAGCATCACTCTAAAAGATGAATCATTATAAAATATGTGTGCAAAGTATATAATGGAAAAAGCATATGGTTATAGAGGACTTGTTTTGATTGATTAAAGGGGTGATTAGCAATCCCTGGGATATAGCACAGTAGCATTGTGGATCATCCCTTCCACTGTGTCAGTTTTTGTTTTGTTTTCAATTGGAGTTTGAAAATAGAAAAATTACAATTATTTTGCACTGAAGTTGTGAGAAAATTTATCAATTACTACCTTTTTATGGTAATATGACAAGGGATACTGAAGCATTTATGTTGTTGGCACATATCAAGTGGGAAACCACTCAAAAGCAGGGATGCACAGTGATAGTAACAGAAGATAAACAGCCGTGAATGTGTACATTTCTGACACATGCCTCGATACTACCACCGCCACCACTACTACCCAGGTATTTATTTTAAAACACAGAGGTGTACTACATACAAGTTGAAACAGTACAATGGCAGCAGGTAGTATCTAGTGTGACAACATGTCCATGCTGTACTTTTCGTTTGTTGTTACATCACAGTGCATCCCTGCTTACGAGTTATTTCCCACTATGTACCAACAACATAAATGCTTATAATTGCCCCTTATTTTATCAGAATGATGACTGATGTACAAAAAGGACAATGTGACCAATACTTACTGTCAATAAACGCGAGTGATTTCTGCATAACGGAGCAAATCTGTTGTACCATCGTCCAATATTTGAATTAGATCCACTCTGTCTTATAATCTGAAAACAGATTAGTAGGATTATATTGATATCTGCAGT